CCCCGCCGGTGGGGCGGGCCCAGGACGCCGCGGGCGAGAGGTCGTCGCCCCGGAGCCCCGAGCAGGCCAAGGAGCGGCCGCGCTTCCAGGTGAGGCCCAGGCGGCCACGGGCGCGTGGTCTCCTCTCGCCCCTCGCCCGTCGCCCGTCGCCCGTGGCTGCGCGCCAGCCGTGGAGGGCCGGCTTCCTTAGGGGCGGGCCACGGCTGGGTGCCTTTTCGCAGCCGCTCACAGCGGCAGGGCAGCGGCCTTTACCCCCCGCAGAATTCAACGAGCGCAGCCTGCTTGTTGGCGGCGGTTGTAAAACGGGCCCCACAGGTTGGCGAGAGACGCCCTGGTAATCCTCCTCTTCCGAGCGCATTGACTGTTTAAAAAACAACAACCCTGACCGTGGACGCGGAGTCGGGTGTTGATTCCTCATCTGGACGATCTAGGTGGGGTGCTCAGCAGGACATCCTAAGGGGAACCTGGTGGCAGGAGAGTCGTTTCCTGAGGATCGCACTCACCTCTCTGAATTCAGTGTGGCAAAAAGCCCTAACCGTCAACTACTGGGGTCCTGGTCAGCTCTCCCCTGATTCTTGCCCGAACTTCCCAAGCTCCTCCTGGAAGCTAGAGCTCTTGACGTGCCTCCCTTGGGATCTTTTCTTGCTCCTAGAAAGTACCCTTATTCGGGACCTCAGCGTTGCTAAAGCACTCGGGCCACTGTGTCCGCTGCCTGAGCGGGGCAGGCGTGGGGGCCAGCTCCCACTGGCTGACCCTAAAGGGCTGGAGTGCGCGGGGGGCAGTGGTAACGCGGAGAAGTGGATAAGGCCGAGGTAGGTAGTGCGAGCACTGGAGGCCTCCTTTGGGGTCTCTCGCACAGTCAGCCCACGGCTGTTGGGAGCAGGGGAGGAGAGGCGGAGGGAGTCAAGTTGGGCAGAAGCTGTGTGTAATTTAAACCTTGTGTAATCTTGCCTCCTAACTTTCCTGGACCAATGTTTGCTCACCTATGAAATTGCTCTAGAATTGGCAGGAACTTTGGAGAGCACTTAAAGGCCTAACTCCAAACACTTGTTTCTCACGGGGAGGGGGAGATGAGAAGCTCAAGAATAAGACAGTACTACTTTAGTTCATGTTAAATACGAATTCTGGTTTATCCGCAATTTAGATTCCTAGCACTGTTGGAAATTGAAGAACCAAGCGGATCTGGAACATGAACTTTTTAGGCTCCTGCTTGCTTGTGTGCTTGATTAAACCATTAGGTCACCTAATTACTACATTATAGAGACTAATGGGCAAACCTTGAGCCCACTTTCCTCCATGATCTGGAATGAGGTTGCCAATTTTAAGTAGCAAATCGGTCCTTCCCAGCTTGTGAAATGAAGGCTAATTTAAATATCCTGTGAGTTAAATGCTGGTGTCTTTCTCTTCAGTTCTTAGAGCAGAAGTATGGCTACTATCACTGCAAGGACTGCAACATCCGATGGGAAAGTGCCTACGTGTGGTGTGTGCAGGGCACCAACAAGGTAAGAAACCCCGCGGAATCGGCATCTTTTTGACATTGGTGTCGAGAGGGTTTTGCTTCACGTTTCCTCTCTCCTCACAGGTTTACTTCAAGCAGTTTTGCAGAACTTGTCAGAAGTCTTATAACCCTTACCGAGTGGAGGATATCACCTGTCAAGTAAATCAAATACACTTTGTGTCTAAACTGGGTAGCTGGGAGAGGGTTTTGGTGGAGCTTCTTGAATGTATCCTGAGAGAGGCTAGGTTCCCAGTGACCCTAGGTTTTGACTGCTTTTCAGTGGGGATTGTGGAAGTAATACTCAACCAGGGAACTGGGCCTTGGGGGTCTTGTTTCCTTCTGTCCTTGCAAGTCTTGGTTATGTTAACCTCTTTAGACGCTGTCCCTTCTCCCGCAACATGGAAGAATGTTTGCCTTACCTGGTACTCCGTCTAATGTAGGAAAGCAAATCAAAACCTAGAATACCTTTCTGCTGTCATGAGGCTGCCTGTTCTGCCCAAATGCTTTGTTTGGAGCACATACGCCGCTGAGGATACTCAGTATAAGCATGGGGTTTGAAAGTTTCAGTCCTGCCTGAGTGCTCGCGAAGGGAGGATGATTTGTTTCAGAGTAGATTTAAGCTGCCCAGTTTTATGGCTAATGATGACCTTGCTGGTTTACTTTTAACTAAGCACTGCACTGTGGGAAGCGGGATAGATAATCTAAGGAAAGGGGTGACTAAACTTTTTTTTTTTAAAGAGCTAAATGGTCTGTAGGTCTTATTAAAGATTTTATTTGCGAGTGAGTGAGAGAGCGCAAGCACAGGCCAGCTGGAGAGGCAGAGGGAGCCCGACGCGGGGCTTGATCCCAGCCCCTGAGATCATGACCTGTTAGCACACGGTGTCGGAACCTGATGTGTCAGTCGACAACAGCCTAATCCATGCACGTCCCTCAAGCTGGACGTTGGAAGCCTTACACTCTAGGGTAGGAAGAGAGCCCCCAAGTATGGCAAACGGTTTAGACTCCCTTAGATGAGGGCAGAGTAGGGTGAGGCCCTAAAGTAGGATGCCTCAAACGCTGTGCTCCTGGCTCAGGGGTTTCTGCTTTGCTTTTGGTGTCCACTTCAGGTCATTGGCAGCAGGTGTGTGTGGGGAGGCAGGGTTAGTCCCCGCTGCTAGGCCGCATCCACAGCTTGCACCTGGCAGCCTCACCTCTTGGCTTTCCTTGTCTGACTCCTCTCCCCGGCTGGTTTCTTCTCCACCCTTCAAGTGCAGAAAGAGATTTCCTTCTACCTGTGTTTCAAGAGAAACTTCCCACGTCTGAACTGAATCTTCTGCAACATGAGAGCATGACTAGCTGGTTCAGCACCCTCTATTCCTATCCTATCCTTGCTGGAAGGGGTGTGGATGGGACAAGATCAGCACAGGGCCTTGCGTAGAGTGCATTCGCGAAGTGTTTGAATGGACTAGAAAAAAAAAATGAGGTTTGAGGAAGTCCCCACAGGCTTATCTTCTGTATGTGCTTCTCACTTTGGTTTTTCAGAGTTGTAAACAGACTAGATGCTCCTGCACTGTAAAACTCCGCCACGTTGACCCTAAAAGGCCCCATCGTCAAGATTTGTGTGGGAGATGCAAAGGCAAACGCCTGTCCTGTGACAGCACTTTCAGCTTCAAATATATCATTTAAATGAATGTTAAAAGAAACCCAAAAAACAATGGTCCTACTTGAATGTGAGCTAATGGAGCAGACAAGTTAGCTTTTTTCCTGCTCCTTTCTGCCTCTCCCTTCTCAAAATACTTCATGCAAGGCTGTATTTTTGACAAAGCCTTCAAATAAAAGTATTGCAAAAACAATCGATAAATTGCGTAAGATGTTTTTTTGCTTTGTTTTGAAGTTTAGGAGAGCTGCTCTTCTAACAGTCTGCATCTGTCACTTTGTTAGAGGGCCTCACAAGTATGAGGTTTACTGCTCCCGTGTGGCTGTGCGGCTGAAGCTTCTAAGCAAGATAGTGATCGAATGAAAAGCCACCTAGCCATTAAAGTAACATTCTTCTGGGGGAGGTGGAGGCGGAGCCCAGCCTTGCTGTATGGGAGTTAGGGTTCTGCCTCTGGGTTGCTCCCGAGCGGCTGGCTAGCTGTGGCTGGGGGCTGTGAACTACACAGTTTCACGGAGGGTACAGGTGGGGACTGGAACAGGGTGGCCAAGGGCAGTTTCTTTAAGCTGTTACCACCTGAGGTCCAGTGGATCAAGTTAACTTAAATAGGCCTCCTAAACGTACTTAGGGATTTCAAGTTAGTTAACAGACTGTGTTAAGGCTGGGTTTTTGTCTTGCAGTTCTGTAACTGCAAACTAACATAGGAATTCTCATCCTATCTGTGCCTGCTAGCTTCTGACATGATTCCCAAGAAAATACTAAGGACCTGCTCCCGGCACGCTCCTGGTGGGGGATGGCATGTTGGCTAGGGCCTCGGGATTTTAGTATCAGAGTTGATTATTGGTTTAATGGTTACAGAAACCACGTAACTGGAACCAGGTGCTAATTATGCCTCCGTCCAATTTTCTAATCCTCTCATTTGAGTTAACCCTTACGACCTTAGAGGGTAGTCTAGAGAGATGTTTGTTAACCTCTTGGGTGCATGGGTGTAGACAAATGTAAAGAACCTAGAATGAATTTGAGGTCTCTAGGACCCTTAGAACAAGGGGAAGTCCCCTCTGCATCCACATGAACTAGGGAAGGTGCTTGTAAAAACAGACTGAGGCCCCTGTCCCTTCAGAATCACGGTCTGGGTGTGAGGCATTTTAGCAAGCACCCTGGGTGTTACTTGTTGATGGAATTGAGGTGTGGAAACTGCTTGAGTCAGCCTTGTACTTCAGAAGAACACAGATGTGGCCTCTGCCCTTCTGGACCTTCCAGTGCATTGGGTAGATGGCCATTATTTTCTGCATTAAAAAAAGGTAACATGGAGTTTGTCACATAATATGAAAGAGCTACTTAGATGCCTATAATAAATGGGGGATCAGATTTAGGGAGGTCAGGGAAGGCTTGCCTGAAAAATGACACTTGGGCTGACCTGAAGTTTGGGTGAATTGAATTAGGTGAAGGAGAAACTTTTCAGACCAAGGTAGCATGTGCAAAGGCCCAGTGGTAGAGCAAACCAAAAGGAAACCAAAGTAATAGAATACTTTGGAGGACAGGGATGGGCATGATGGCAAGTGACACTGGTAGGCCTAGACTGGGAGGGCTTTTCAGACCTTGCTCAGGACTGACTGGCCTTTGTCATCCGAATTCACGGAAAGGTTTTAAAGCTGTGGTAGGACACAGATTTATCTTCAAAAAGAAATAATCACGGTGGATGCCTATAAACAAGTAAGACTTGCAAAGACCAGGTAAAATGGTGGTAGGACCAAAGAGATGACAACTCTAGGTGTGGGGGAAGGTGATGTTCTAACACCTGTTCCTATGGATTTGGTTGAAGGTAGGGACAGGGAAAGGACACTTATTTGACTCACGGCATGCAAGTGTACTCAGTAAACACTTGAGTGAGGGAACAATAGAAATACACATATTAGGGAGTCCTAAGTCTACTAATACGGGTAGTTAAATCATTCTTTAAACTTAGGAAAAGTAATGGCAAGCTCTTAATAGAGCAGCTAACCTATTTTACAGTTGAGGTAAAGCAAGGATCAAAGTAGGTTTTACTTAGTGTGCATTGGACAAAGTGGCACAAAAACATCTTTGTTATAAAAGTTGTGCTAACATTTTAGCAATTAGCACTGTCAAACTGTACAAAGGAAATGTGTGTATACGTGTGTGTGTATATTTAACGAGCGACATTGACTAGAAAGAAATACCCCAGAATACTGTTATCTCTGGTTTCCAGTGATTCTAGTTTTCTTTACATTTCCTACATTTGCTAAGGTGACAGTGGATTACTTTGGAAAAAATTTTAGAATGCCATCAAGTACAATGACATTGATTCTAATATCTTCCTTCTTTCATTTAGATTATGCTGGCATGGTGTGTGAGCAGTTCTCTTGGACCTAAATGAGGAAAACTTACTCTGGCTTTGGTGAGTTTGTTCCAAGAGAATGTTTATTTCCTAAATTTATGGTAGATTGTGGGTTGTATCACACCCTCTATATCACTGAAAGTTGAAAACAGTTTCTAAATTGTGTTTTAAAAAAAAAAAAAAAAAGCTTTTGGCTTTCTATTTCAGAAGCAGAATGAAAACACTTCCAGCTCTCTTCTCTTGGTGTTATTTTACAAGCTAGTATTACTATTTAAAAAATGATCAACTTAGTGGGCAAAAGAAAAAGGTTGTATGAGCACAAATGGCTCTGTTTGGAAGTACACGGGGTATTTAATAAATTAAGCATCTGGTGTATTTTGTTAAATGCAAACTTTGGATTCAGAGGAGCAAATTAGTATCGGTTTTAGGAAAACTCAATTGCAAAAGGGCAATCCTACTTACTTTATATTTGCATTTTTGCTCTCTGTAGGTGTATTTATCTTATTAACTTAGCTACATAAACATGAATAGGAAATTTCAACTGTTCAAAGGTTTGGTTTCGGTAATGAATTAGTCAACCTAATCTGTTCTCAACTTTGTTCTCCCCCTTTTCGGGAAGGTATGTTTAAGAATGAGGATAATATTTGAAAAGTTTCTGCATGATGCACACGATCATCATTCATCCTTAAAATACAACACAAATCAACAGCTACAATGCTTTTTATTTTAACAAAAAGGATATAAGGAGGGTGAGAAAATGGGATGGTACGATAGGATATAAAGTGTGGGGTGTCTCCGGACACCATCCCTCTACTTCCTGCCCCACACCTAAAAGTTATTAAATAATTTAAAGGACACCATTTACAGTACCAGAACACCATTAAAATAATTTGTGTGTGTTTTATCAGGGTCAAAAAATACAGTGATTATGAATGTGCCGTGACCAGTTATGGATTTTACAGGTAACATAACTCTAGTCAGCAGTCCAATGGCGTGCACAGTGCCTTCAATTAATGCACTTGAGCATAATTACATTTCTGGCAGGGTCCACACCCCCAAGAAAAGGCAAAGCTAAGCATTTCATTTCTACATTCTAAACTCTGGAGGCACAGAGCCCAGTTTAAAAGAAAAGTCACAGTGGATAAGAGATGCCTATAAAAAATACAAGGTGTTCCTTTCAAATCAGAGGAATTGTGGGACTACATTCATTTCTTTTACAAAATGCTATTTAAAAAAGGACAGAGAATCCAGTTCATGTTATGCTACAGACTTCGACAGGAGTTAAGTATATTGCATGTTTTGGTAGTCAGTCTTCAGGCTTCCTTTCATTTTCCCCCATAGCCCCAGGTTCCTTCTGGGTGAAACACATGAGTCCTGAATAAACATAGAAAAATGTGTTTGCATCTCCTTGAATTTTCTGCAGACTTCGGAGCCCGCAAGTCATGTATTCTACCATCAGTGACCACAATCTTTTCTTTAGCTTTGTACACCTGTTCTTGTCTAACAGTGCATTGCAAAAATGTACAATACTGGTTTTAATCTATACAGTTTCTATAATAATTATGGAGTAAAATAAGTTAACGTTTCTAAGGAGAAGAGCTGCCGGGCAGCATACATCTTTATTTTACATTTTTAAGTCTCTGCAGGCATCTACTTTGGTTAGTTATCAACAATCGTCCCGTAAGCACTGATCAGAGAACTGAGCAGCATTCCAATAACATTAACAGATATATTATTTCTTTTCAAAATACCGGGAAAGCCCAGCTTTAAAATAGTATTAAAATGTTCTAACATTTACACACTATGAAGAGTTAGAGCTAATAAAATAAAATTTCTTCAAAAATAATCTTGCAGTGCTCTTTCAGGCATGCTCTGACACGTTATCCCCAAACATCCATACCTTGAAAATAGGACTATCACATACTCACACATCCCAGCTCACGCACACGTAATCCTTTATACAGACTAAAAAACAAAACACCCACGCCCTTATCCCAGGTGTTGAAAAAAAAAATCAATGGTTTTTGCAAAGAAGTCTTTATGTGTGTCTATCCGACTGAAGGTTCTTCATGTAGATGATTAAGCATCAACTGTAGAGTATGCTTCTGGCTGCTGGAAATCCACACAGCTTTGCAGGTCTTCAGCTAAAATGAACGAGCCTGGATTTTAGCCTCATGTCACCTGCTTTCCAATGTCTCCGTATTAGAGGCCATTATTGCAAACAGTCTGGGAAGTCTCTTCTTTCTCCAGAAAGTAATGTATGCATCACTTTTAGCCCTTTTCTTTTCACATAGGTTAAGTAATAATTAAAAAATTCCTTCTTCATAGAGTTAATTGTGGGAGGTATTGGCAGCTGTTAGAATTTTCTTCAGATCTTTGATTTTGACGTTCTTTATCTCGATAGAAGTTGGACAATAGTTACACTCGTGTTGTGGATGCTGCCAGGAAGTTATCCGTGAACTGCAAGGGTTCATAAAAGGTGCCTGGTAATATTCTTCATCATCTTCAGGTTTGTTTCTTCCCTAAATGCCTGAAGTTTCTCAGAATCCAGTGCTCACCAAATTTCCAATTGGTTTGGCCTGTGCTAAAAGCTGGTATGATTGCACCATGCGTAGAGACTCTCTTATTTCTAGATTAAGTTCCATCAATTTGTAGTTGGCTTCTGACATGTCCAGGTCAGAGCCTATAACCGCGAAGCTTCCCGTCTGGCCCAGAGTCTGATGATGGAAATATATGTGTAACAGCGTCTGCACAGGGTCATCTTCACAACTGCCGAAGATATCACTGGGCCAGAGAGATCTGAAATACACAATATTTTTAAGTCCTGAGACTCAAGCAATTATTAAAGTTAGCTACATTTTAAATTAATACCTATAACAAAATTTCCTTGTGAATCATTGAGGATCTGTTTTAATATTTGAGCAAATGTATTACCCAAAGTAGAGGAGTGAACAAAGTCTAAAAGTGGTGTCATTTTAGTGATAGCTGTAGAAAATACCAAAGTCATGCTTTCATAAAGACGGGATACTGAAACATCATCAAATGAAAGCCCAAACCCAGTCACTGTAAAATCCCAGGCTAGGTGGAGAGGTAGGAAATCCCTTCACATTTTACCTGAAAGCTTTTACTTGTGCGACAGCTGATATAAATTCCTTATTTTTCAAAGTTTCAATTAAAGAATGAATGGCAGTTTCTATAGTGGTTTGTGCGGCTTTGGAAAGGTCAATTTCTTCATTTTCTGAAGCAGACTCTGCTTCTTTGAGGATATTTTCCAGCTGGGCTAGTTCCTCAGACATGTTGATGACCTAAAACAAACAAATATACCTTAAAAGGATCTATTTGTATGTTAAGTAACAAAAAGGGCATTTAGTTGGCTGTAAAGATATGTCTGATGATAGGAGTAGCTTCTCTTGAAGATTTGCAAATGTTAAACTTAGTAGTTAAAGGCAGTTAATACTTCAAGTTCTCAATTCAGTAGACTACCAGTCATCTCTAAATACTCTTGATAAGGTGATAAGGGCACCTGGCTGGCTCAGTTGGTGGAGCACGTGACGCTCGATCTCGGGGTCGTGAGTTTGAGCCCCACATTGGGCACAGAGGTTACTCAAGAAAAAAAAATAACAGGTGGTAATAAATATGATAGATGTAATAAAACCGGTTGTAACCAATGTTTATATTGGTTTTAACATGTGGTATTACATCTTGGATAGTAAAAATCATTCACTGTTTGGGGGGGGGTCATAAATTTTTGAAAGTCTTTATATTTTAAAAGATTATTTACCCAGTGCATTTTATATAAACCAGTATGTATTTTTTAAATTGATTTAACCATTTAACAAAAGTGAAAGCATTTCCTGTTTCAGTACCAGCTTTGACAAGGGGGCAAAAAGACTAACTTCGCTACCTTTGCACCTATTCCTTACATGATTTCCAACATTCAAAGTGTTTTTGACATGTTGGTTCTTATGTACATCACTAGAACTACAAAAATATATGGACAAGATGTTAGGGGAGTTCCATAATTTAACTGTGTCTTTATTCAGCTGATGTGCTTTCCTTGACTTTTGGTTACAGATCATCTGTCGTTGCTGCTGTGACCTTTAAGGTCTTGAACCTTTCAAGACCGCTGGCTATGTATCTGCTGTTTTATTTACTGACAGGTCCCAAAATAGCACATCGAGTCTAAAGACAATTCTGAAAAAAAGCATTCACCATTAAGTGACTTTTGACATAAGCTCTCCTACAAGGAATATATGTATTGTATTTTAATATTCTAGAATCAGTGATTCCTACTACAACTAAATATTTACCTCTGCTTCATTTTTTATTGTATTTACTTGGCCGATCAGTTTGCAGTAGGCTTGGAACAGAAGCAGCAACTGAAAATGCAGTTTATATAACCTTCGGCAGAGCTCCAGTTCCTAGAAGTAAGTAAATAACACTGCGTTAAATTCAGGTGCCATTGTCCATGCTGTTTGATTAGACAGTACATTTCCAATAAAAATTTATAAGTAAATACGTTAAAAATTATCTTGGCATTTATTTCTCTGTAGTAAGCAAGTTAATGTAGTGTGAAGCTGATGAAAGATGCTTTGAAGACTGGGATTAAAATACAAGATTGTTGGTTACATAATTCATTTAGTGAGAAGCACATTTTCACATTAGAATTTTTCGGTAGGCAATATATAGAATGCTTTAAAAAGGATTCACTTTAGCTTAAAATTCATAATGAAAAAAATGTACAAATGCATATACTTTTGCCCCCTTGAGATGTATATCGTGCTACATTTATCAACAAATGTTTGATAAAGCAAAGTCAAACTGGATTACCTCTTACCTAAAAATGAAAACCCAAAACCTTGTGATCTCATTGAAATGAGACCATGAAATTAACATATGCACTTATGATTTTTAAAATTAAGTTTAAAATGTTAGTTTACAGATGTACAAAAAAGGGAGCTGCTAGTTGTACATATCAGAAAATCTCCTTTAGAGGACCAACATTTCATGGATTAGGGCTATGCGGAACTGAAGCACACTCTTAAAAGTAGTCCATGACAAAACATTGCTAGGTCACAAATGGCAAGTGAAAATCAGTTTGTCTGACATGGTAAGTCTATAAATTAAGACAGGTCACTTACTGCTAGAATTTCCATTTGCTAAGCAAGAAGGTGATCGGGTCACAAAAAATACAAAGGAAGAAAAAGACCAAGAATTAGTGTAAGAAATCATTTTAACTAGGGTCACAGATGTCCCAGGCAAACTGAAGAACATTTACTTTCATCCAAAAGAAAAATTTGATATTTCCAGAATAAAACTTTTTATACACTTACTGTAACAACCCAGGGTGTTTTAAACTCTTTGCCAAATAACTAAATGACATGTAGGCTATAATTTATTTCTTGTCTGAAAGCTACACAGGACAAAACTGAACTAATGTGATCTAGGAAAAGTTGGCTAGTATAAGTGATCTAAGAAAAAAAGCAAATGTCATAAAATTTCCATCAGTAAAGTGGAAAATTTCTGATTAGAAAAATAAGAAATGAATTGCTGTTTTTAGAAATGAACTGGCTTATAATCTTATAAATATCCATGAGAAGATTATCTTTGGTGTGGGTCTAGGCTTCCTACCCTTACTAATTAGGTCCTATGTTGCCCTAATTGGTGCTGAGTCAGAACATAAAATACCAAAAGCAGATGTGTATTTTAAAATGCATTCCAAAATGCAATTTAGTGAACTTCAGAAGTTCAGCCCAACTAGGTTTGAGTCAAATGAGATGATGTATGTAAAATACATAGCAAAACATCTAATTTAAGGATTATTTAAAAATTATTACATTAAAGTATCTATAGCCACTTGGACCTAGTCCCTAGTCCATTCTAAAGAATGATTTCTAATTAAAATAGCAATTGCTGTAACGTAAATATTGCTTCTAAAAGTCCCTTTGAAGTCAGCTTTTCTAAACAGTGTCCTCTGAAGGACTGTTTATTTAACATTTATTCCTATCAATTTAGAAGGGATTTGCTAAGCAAAGGTGAACTTTAGCTCCATTCTGCTTCCTTGTAAATTATGTGGATAGTCATTCAGTGAATGTTAGTTGAGCATAATCCAATGTCAAACATATTAGCATATCTAAATTTGAGGTTCTACTTTGTACGGTTTTACATGGAAACTAAACCATTTGAGTTTCAAATACTTTTTCTCACTTCCATTAGCGTGAATGATGGAACTGGCTCTCTCTGCATCACTCATTACCCAGGGAATGGGAAGGAAATCATGGCAGGGGCGCCTGGGCGGCTCAGTCGGCTGAGCAGCCGACTCTTGATTTCGGCTCAGGTCATGATCTTAGGGTCATGAGAATGGAGCCCCACGTCGGGCTCCACGTTCTGCAAGGAGTCTGCTTAAGAGTCCATCTCCCTCTCTCTCTCTCTCTCTCTCTCTCTCTCCTCCTCCCCTGCTTGCTTGCTCTCTCAAATAATCTACGATCACAACTGTAGGAGATAACACAAATGTAATTAATCGTGTAGCTCTGAATTACCGGAAATTATGCCAACTTTCCAGATTTAAAATTGATTTTTAAGTATATTGAAATTGGCAGGTGTGGGGTTTTTTTTAATCTAAAAATTATTATGCAAAAGAATTCTGGTACACAGGGACAGATACTAGTAATGTTGTGTAAAAAGTGTCCCCAATCTCAAGGAGCTGAATATAAAAGGAGAGAGAAGATATAAACTAAACTCTTAAGTGTACAGCTTTCAGTTTTCACTTAGAAAGCCTTGAGCTATATTAACCGACTTAGACTCTTGGAGATGGAACTCATTTACTTCAAGGCAGAGGGATGTAAGAAATCACTTTGTCTAATCACCTAATTTATGTAGGAAAAAGTTTATATTACATGCTCAAACCATGCAGTTAAATAGTGGCAAAGATAAAACCAAAGGCTCCAATTCTAGTTTAGGGTTAATTCCTTATTTTCCCTTGTTTCTTTCTTTACACAGGTAATTTGACCATTTCCTTGTAACACAGTACAGGATTTGGAGTCAGCCTGCCTAGATTTGAATCTTAATTCTAACTTTTCTTACTGATTTTAGATACATTGGCTTCTTTGAGCCTCAGCTTCCTCATCTGCAACATGGGGATAATAATAGCATCTACTAGACATCGTTGTAAGGACAGAGATACTGAATGTGAAATGCATACTACTATTTTCTCAACATTTCAGTTTAAAAAAACTTCACATTTTTATTATAATCATACAATAACTTTTACAGTGACTAGAAATGCTTAACAGTGTAACCAATATTGAAAAAGACGAACTCTGATGTCAATGCAGAAGTTAATTTTAATTGATGACTGCATCTTCCCCATATGAACCTATATTCCTATTAGAATAATTTGTAGGGCTTAATTTATCCTCATTTAATATAATGTGTTATATACATGTACTTTAAGAAAATATGTTACTCTTATTTTCACTGACTTTTATACTATAAAAAAGTTGTAATTTATCCAATCACAATTTCACCTTTAGAGAGGCCAACATGAATGTATGTAACGTTACTCTCAGGTTTGCTTTCCCAACTAGACAATTTATCTGCAGAATACTAATGCAGAACAAAAATTTTTTGAAGAGGCAGATGCAGCAAGTACAATCTAACTTGGACTGTCTAGATATCCATCAAGCTTATCTGCTGAATGTTATTAAGCTTCAGTCACAAGCTGGTCGTTCATTTTTATTAAAGTGAATTTTTCATTACTAAGCCAATATTTCATTGAACCTAACTTTGACAAAGACTGTTCTGATAACAAAAATGAAAAGTGTTATAAATTTTATTTTTAGGATTATCAAACAGGGACATTCGAACACACATATAATTTTACCTGATCTAGAGATATAGCAAAAGTAAGAAGAGGAGACTTACCTGTGCATCTGTGTTTATCCTATACAGGTCTTCTTTGGCACCAAATGTCCTCTTACAGTTGTCTAACCACTAAAGAAATAAGTAACCGTAAATTTTAACATGGTGATTGTACAATGCACAATGAAATTGGTAATAAAACAGCCTGTGTGTATAAAACTTTAAAAGTTAACCTGAAGTTCTGGGATTGGTTATAGACTGAGCCTTCAATCTCCACTTGAGCCTAATTATTTATATGCAACAAACCAGAGCAGGATGATACTGTAAACACAATGAGATGCACACACTGTGGTGCTTTACTCACAGAAACGCAATGAATAGTCTGCTCTTCTAGAGACTTGTGGTGCTCCATTTCAGTAAAGAGTATTCATTTTGCAGATTTTATTGGAAATCTTCACAACCTATACCTGACCTTTGTCTAATATAAGATGGGGAAATAAAAGATGTGCTTCCCGCTGGAAGCACAATTTAATAAAGGCAACTTCAAATTACCAGGTCTGTTTGCTTATCAGAAGTGTAATTCTCAGAAGACTGGTGTCCGTTTTAATTAGTAAAACAGAAACCAAAATCCATTTTAAATCTTGTTTTTTACTTCTTTTCCTTCCTTTTGGACAGTAATGAATGACAAACATGTTATCTCCCAAGAATATTGGATATAGAAGGCATGTGTGGTTTTTTTCCTTACCCATGGGCTATTCCTAAAGTTGGCTGTTTATTTAAGGTATCTTTTCTTTGGTCAAATAAAAATAATAGTATCGTAGTTCAGTGGGGGAAAACACTGGAGTCATGGAATGTCCGAGCTGAAATAAAAGCTAAGAGCCTCCAAGTGAAGCACCTAGATTTTGACAGTTTGATATTATTGTCTGTTCTTCTTCCTAGTTCTTTGTGATCTATTCAACATAAAACTAATATATGTAAGAAATCATTCAGACTTTGAGAAAAACTATTAGCTACATTAAGTATACTCTCTGAAAACATCTCGGTACTACCAGGCATTTAAAACACTCAACTGTAGCTTAACATTCTACATGCAAAGAATGAAAATGAGACACCTCAGTTGTTTCAAAACAATTCTTTGACCTTATGTTGCTTTTACTGCAGTCCCTTAGACTGTACAGGCCCATCGGCTTTCGCTTGACAGCGTGTCTGAGGAAACATGTTAAGCTTTCCTAGTGGGACACGGCGGCCAGTACCAGCCAGTGGCAGAGGCTACCCGGCAGGTTTCTTTGTATCGGCAGCACCCGGCTGAAACCTGCTGTAAAATGCATGGGCTCGTATTTACTCAGAATGTTAAAATGCATATACACCTAGTCATTCTCCCTAATCCAGCCCAATTTGTCCAAGTATACTAATTATTAGAAAAAAAAGTAACTGAATATTTAATGCCTATTCTTACTAAATATGATTTTTTTCTACTCTATGCCCAGTGATCTAGCATTTCGGGACCCTTATTCAATAAATTATTTGACTTTTTAAAATTATTTTTTTTAAAAGATTTATTTGAGTGAGAGAGAGAAACAGCATGAGAGGGGAGAGGGTCAGGGGGAGAAGCAGGCTCTCCGTTGAGCCGGGAGCCTGATGCGGGGCTCGATCCCAGGACTCTGGGATCATGACCTGAGCCGAAGGCAGTTGCCCAACCAACCGAGCCACCCAGGCGCCCAGTTTATGACTTTTTTTTAAAGACACGTCCCAAGCCTCTAGTCCCATGGCTGCATACCAGCCTGAACAGTACAGGTCCCCACGATCCCAGCCAGTGTATGCAAGACACAGCACTCTGTGTACAGCATGTCTTCCAGTTCACAGCCAGTCTCCCTGCCATTACTTTCTTTACCCAAGGCTCAAGTGAAGGTTAAAATTGAACAGGAGAGGTTGGGCTTCTGGGCATGATGGAGTAGCCTGTATAAGGCCAATCCTCCAAGGACAACTACAGATGCAGAATACCATCCACCAGGACAGAGGGAGTTAGGCCAAAGCACTGAAAGGGAGCCCTGTGTAGATCCCAGGGTTTATTCCAGGGGATCTGCTTACTCAAAGCTTTGCTTGGTCCTCAGGCAGAGAGGCTGAACAGACAGCCGTGGCCTGGGGGGTGTGGCCCACAGTGTCACTGAGCTGGGAAAACAGGGTCATCAAAGGCGGGGAAGTATGGAGGGCCAGGATGCTGGAGGAAAGGGGACTGCAGAGAAGGGACCCAACTGTGTGCAGCTTCCCTCGCAACACTGCCGCTCCAACATTTAACATGTGCAGGAGGAGAGGCTAGAAAACCAAGCAGTAGCATCTGGGAGGCTAAAAAATCTAAGAGATTTCTGGTCTCCTGGTGTTGAAAAGAAGAACCGTTCATTTCCTGCCAAGATGGCAGGGGTCCTGATGCATACCCCACACTTTCACTCATGATCCTCAGGAGGCTCAAGGAATAATGGAAGACTATCTTAACTACAAGACTATAATACTAAAAACTATTAGAGGGGAAAACTGAGTAACAAGAAATACTTGGTTCATAGACCAAGATAAGAAAGGAGAAAAAAAGGTAACAAAGAACAGATGGGGGGCGCCTGGGTGGCTCAGTCAGTTAAGCGTTTGCCTTCGGCTCAGGTCATGATCCCACGGTCCTGGGATTGAATCCCACATCGGGCTCCCGGCTCAACGGGGAGACTGCTTCTCCCTCTTCCTGCTGCTCCCCCTGCTTGTGCTCTCTTTCTCTGTCAAATAAATAAAGTCTTTAAAAAAACAAAAACAAAACAAAGAACAGATGCGACAAATAGTGAGATGGTAGCTCAGAAGGAATCATTTTTCTCCCGCATACAAATATTTGATTCAACACAATTTATTGAAAAGAACATTCTTTTCCCACTGCATAGCAACAGCACGTTTGCTATAAATTATTACACACATGTATATATGTCTGTTATCGGGTTTTCTATTATATTCCATTGGTCTAGTTTTCTATTCTTAAGCCAATAAACTCTCTTGAATTTTTTAGTTTAAGTCTTACTGGCTGGAAGTTTAACACTGTTGTTTAGACTTTGTTGTTGTTCTTCATGGACAAGGTTTGGAAGACTATTTCTGTGAAGGACAGAGTAAAGATTTTAGGCACTGCAAACCATTTATTCTCTATTTTAACTATGTTGCAGTGCAAAAAATAGCCACAGACAATATGTAAACAAATATGATGACTATGCTCCAAAAAAACCTTTAGAAAAACAGGCAGTGGGCCAGATATGACCTATGGGCTGTAGTTTGCTGACCTGTGTTCAAGATGGTTGTTTGCCCTATAATTAGCTATTTGTATGTCCATATAAATTGTAGAGTTAGCCTGCCAATTTCCATTAATAGACAATCTGAGATTTTGAGTCTCCTGATTCATGACATAGTACAGTCTTTAATTTACTGGGATGTCCTTTAATTTCTCTCAGTCATATTTGAAGTTTTCCGTGTGGAGGTGTAGCACATCTTTAGATTTATTTGTAGGTGTTTGATGTTTTCCTATTGTACGTGGTATCTATTGCTGTATCACTAACCTCTCTAAAACTTAATGGCTTAGGGGGCGCCTGGGTGGCTCAGTCGTTAAGCGTCTGCCTTCGGCTCAGGTCATGATCCCGGGGTCCTGGGATGGAGCCCAGCATCAGGCTCCCTGCTCAGCAGGAAGCCTGCCTCTCCCTCTCCCACTCCCCCTGCTTGTGTTCCCTCTCTC